ATTGTGCAGGATTGGCACCAACAGTTACTGTAATTTGGTTGTGGGTGAGGCAGCTTTAGGTGAAGCAGTAGAATCTCCCTGTGACCCACTGAGGCTGGGATCGAGCCTGGGGCTCACCTATTATGGGTGTGTGGCTCAGTCCCAACACGGATTGCGCATTTTTACAATGAACTAGTCTTTCAATTTCTTTTACATCCTGCTCTCCAATGGATACCTTGGGTTCACAACAGAGTTTCCCGATCTTTTACTATGTCACATGACATAAAGCCACAAGGTGTTAGACAGACCCACAGGCACCACAATGGACTAACAGCATCACCCACATGTGTCCCGAGGAAGAACTCAATTGGAGACAGAACATCCCAGGGACAGAACTCATTGAGAAGTTTACCTGGGCCTATAACGGACATTGTCCTTACATGACCTACCTACACAGAGTGGGCAGCACTCTCGAGGCACGTGGATCTGATTCACACATGGAGCGATACAATGAATCTCGGAGCAGGTGGCGACCCCATCCACACACATACACGTCATGCAGGGGACTGTGGGTGCAGACCAGGTTGCTCCCTCCTGGTATTCCTTCCCATTGTACATACAGCCTGCTCAGAAGGTAAAGACAAGTTAGCAGTCATGAAAGGAGGCAGGGCTCAGACTGGGACCTGACCTTCAGAATGTAGCTGTATCAGCGCCATGTCTACAATGGCTATCTCACTCCTGATTCCTGCACTTCATATATATGTGCTAGCTAGACCCCATCGGAAGGAGGGATTGTTTCTCCAACCCCTGTAATATTTTCCCTTTCAAGAAATCTCTAATTCCTGTAAATGCTCCAACAGCCCCATCTCCTAAGAATACTTCAAGTGGCCCCACCACCTCTCTCCTTTGTGTCTCCAGTCTGCCCCCTGGTGAATTACTGTCCAATTCAATCAGTCAGTGTTTAGCCCCTGAACCTTCTGCATGGTCCCTCAGTGCTGACTGTACCTGAAGTGGGTGGGTGGTGGCAGGTGCAGACGTGGAGGAGTCCTTACCTCGACACTGTGGACAGCAAGATCCTGGCTTTGTTATCTGTTGTCTGCAGCTAAGTGTTGGACACTTGACAGGCAGGCACAACACATCACCATCCTGCAACACAGCAGTTACAATTCACAAAATGAGCTGACGAAATGTAGAGGGACAAAAACAAAGTTGCTGGAAAAGCTCAGCAGGTCTAGCAGCAGCATCTGTGAAGGAGAAAACAGAGTTAACGTTTCAGTTCTTTCAGTTTTTATTTTGAAATGTAGCGGGGTTTGGGAGCTGCAAGAGGGCAGGCTCTTGGAAATGGTGGCAGTGGCCTGACACCTGGGGTTTGGCCTGGTGAAAGGAGACTGCTGTAAGGGCCTACTGCTTCAGATGGACTTTCTGCCACCAATCAAATGGTTGTATTGGCAATGTGGGGAGAGCAGCAAACAAATGGCTCACAGATGCAGCTTTGGAGCCTTGGCACCATATAAAGGCAAGCATGTCCAGCAGGTGCAGAGGAGGGCAATCCCAGTCATGATGCTCAGATGGACACTAATCCTCGTACAGACCCACAACCTCCCGTGGAGTTAATCTCCTCACTCCTGCTGAGATCCTGCTGAATTTCAGGATGCGGGTGGAAATCCCTGTGGACTTGTCTCCGGGACCCATTCCCAATTACCTGACAACTGGATTCTTTAAGGGCTTTCACCATAAGATTAGGCAGATGGACCCACAATTACAATTTCAGGGACCTCTGTGAGACTGCGAGAGAGAGAGAGAAGCTTGGTAGCAACAGGAGGGTGCCTCAATAAAATGTCAGAGAAAGTGTATTGTATGTGATTGGCAGCAGCATTGATGCAATGCTTGTCACATGGGGCATGGAAGAAATGGAAAAATACAATACATAATCCAGACTTTAGACTCCCATGTTCATTTCAAGGCTAAATCCCAAAATAGAAGGTGTAAAAATTAATTGGTGCAGTCAGGAGCTGGGGAAATCATTGATTCCTTTCTCAATGATTTATACTGCCTCACAGTTAACTACCAGCACAGATCTTTGAGTGGGGAGCTCATATGGGACTGTATTGCTGTGAATTCCTGGATGAAACTGGTTTAGAGTTTTCTCATCCAAAGCAGACCCTACTTTACCAAAAATAGTGCAGTCCATCAGATAAGGCAAAAGTTGCAAGGAAGTGATTTTGTTTTTATCTGAAGGGACAGAGAACTCTCCTGGGATCCAGTGACACCGACTCAGCCCTTCTTGCAGTGAGCGGGCCACCAATATGACAGGAGCCATAATGGAAAGGGGGTGCCACAGCCATCATTGTTCCTTTGCTATGTTGTGGTGGGCTTACTCTGTCATGGTGAAAACCCTGGTGCAGCTATCAATGCTCAGTATGCCATAGGAAAGACCATTTCCAGGTGGCTTGTTGTTGGTTTGACAATAGGTGATTTCAATCCACAGCACGGAGATCTAAACAGATAACTTCTGTCTTCAACTGTCTTAAGAAGCAGCAGCTACTGAGTTATAGGAGACCTTGAAAGGCAAATCTTAACACTACGCACTGTCCTGACAAGGGACTCATTGGTGATAGGAAACGGTGGACCCACAAGATGATATCTGGTCTGCAGATCTTATGGTTAATGGCAAGAAAGCTATTTTTAGATTGGATATAGGGACAAGCATTATCCATTTCTTCTGATTCAACGCTACGGTTGGAAGCTCAATGTCTCCGACCATCTTCAGTGAAGCTTCAAGGTGCAGAATGAACCACAAGAAGGAAATAAGGCCAGATGCAGACTAATCTTCACGGCAATAGGAGAGAGACCACTGTTATGATGAATGTCATTACTAATTTGCATTACTCATTATTCACTTGGAACCTTCTCTATTCACCAGCTGCAGTGAGATTCAAACTGCCAGGAAGTCAGATGGCATTGATGAAACACCATTCCTGAAGACCACAGGACAGTTTACAGATCTCATATTTCCCTTTGAAGAAAGGCTAGAACAACTAGGGATGGGCTACACGGTCAGGATGAAGTTCCAGAAGCTCTGTTTACTCTTTCAGGAAATGATACGGTCTCAGAGACAGATGACTTGTTGCATGATGGGATCCTAGATGTGGGGGAAAGGAGACCTTTTACTCCAGTCGAGGTGCTTGAATGTTCAGAAATTACTAGCCTGCAACAAAACCAGCTAAAGTCTGCAATTGAGTGCCATCAGCAACCTGTGGAAATTCTCGATTTCTTTCAGTGAAGAACAAGAGCCGTTAACTACTGAGTTTTTGCAGCAGAGCAGTACTTGAGAAAAGCTCGAAATAAAGCTTGAGTGGAACTTGAGAACATCAAAACTAAATAGGACTAGGAGCAGTTTAACTCTCTGACAGTGAACTAAAACCATAGCTATTTGCAGTAACATAGCACGACCAAACCATAGAGCAACCAACTGGGAATGTGGTCACACTCACTGCTCTTCCTATCACCAATAAGCCCCTTAACAGAACAGTGCCTAGTGTTAAGGTTTACCTTTTATGTGCTCCTGTGACACAGTGGTAGTGTCCCTACCTCTGGGCCAGGAAACCAGGATTCAAGTCTCACCTGCTCCAGAGGAGTGTAGTAATATTTCTGAATAGATTGGTTGGAGAAGTCTTGTTTGTTTTAAGCTCGCAGACCACAGATCTATGCAAGAACCTCTTAAAGATCCTGGTCCAAATGTCTACTTCTGGTTCAATGCTAATGCACTTCTACTTCCTGGTGGAACTGCCTGTTGAGAAACAGCCTTCCCACTCCAGCCCCACACTGGCCAGCCCAGACAATGATGAGCGAACACCTACATCCACCGAGACAGCACAGAACAAAACAACAAACTGCAGACGATGGAGATCCGAAACAAAACCAGAAATTGCTGGCGAAACTCAGTAGATCCAGCAGCATCTGTGGGGAGAAAACAGAGTTAGTGTTTCGAGTCCAGTGACCCTTCTTTAGAATGGTTCCAAACGGACTGATCTGTTTTCTCTCCACAGATGCTGCCAGACCTGCTGAGCTTGTCCAGCACTTTTTCTTTCTGTTTCTGATTTCCAGCACCCACAGTTCTTTGTTTCATGGCTGTGGGCTGGACCCTGGGTCTGTAAGGGTCCAGGTGAGACATCCTCTCCGACCCTCTGTACATTGCTAAGTTGAGCTAAGCCTGTCGCTGTTCACTCCCCAGGCTGTAGGCCTCACGTTACCACATTCCTCACTGCTGGACCAGCCTGCGAACTAGCTGCCAATCTGGAGACTCAGTTTTAATGGCCCATTTTAATTTGGTGGCTTACCGTACATGTACACGTGTGGCAGGGGTTCACTGCTGAAATCCAGTGTGATCCTCCGTTATACTGTTTGCCGTGATGGATACAGACTGGAAAAGGAGAGACACATAGTCAGGCAGGGACCAGAATGGGATCGACACACACCTCACTGGCCAGAATCCAACCTGGAGAGTCACTGGACTCAAACCATCAACTCTGCTCTCTCCCAATAGATGCAGCCAGACCCGCTGAGTTCTAGCTGCAATTTCTGATTTTGTTGCAACCACTGGGCCACAAGATATAGACTTCATTAAAAGGCCTTGAATTTAAGGAAGAGACCAGTACCTGCACAGAATGAGAGTCGGGAGTCCGACTGATGTGTTGGTCTGCTTTGTGCCTGGTTTACGTTTGACAAACATGTGCACACATGCCAGTTCCCAGAGGCTTGTTCCCGTCCTACTTACGGGTGGTACATACCTGGGCATTCTGGGCAGCACGTCTTTGTGTTTGTCACAGGCTCTGAACAGGTTACCCGTGGACAGACAACATCCAAACACAACACACTACCATCGAGGCAGCTACACCGTTTACACCGGTTGGACGGAGGGAAGAAGGTTTCTCGGTTTTCGTACTCCAGGCCCTCGAAGGAACAGCGATTGCACTCAGGACAACAGGCCGTGCTGACAACTGGGTGGGTGCACTGTTTGGAGCATGGTCTCTTCCAGCAGGTCACCACCTCAGCCTGAGGGCACAACAGCATTGTAAACAGTAAAACCAGAAGAAGGCCCAGAATCCTCATCCTGACTCCTCTCGCACTGCCAATCAAACATTGTGCCCTGCAAATTCCTCCCCAAGCCACAGGCCAGCCTGACTTGGAGCTATTAACTCACTCAGAGATAGTAAGAATTGCTGATGCTGGAGTCAGAGATAACACTGTGAAGAGCTGGAGGATCACAGCAGGCCAGACAGCATCAGAGGAGCAGGAAAGTTGATGTTTTGGGTCGGGACCTTTCTTCAGGAGGGGGAAAAGAGCTGGGAAATAAATAGAGAGAAGAAGGGTGGGCTGGGGAAGGTAGGTGGGATGGTGATAGGTGATAGCAGGCAGGCAGTGGTGGGGATTGGTCAGTAAGGTGGGAGGGGCAGATAGGTGTTAGATAAGATTGCCAAGTCGTGTCAGGTCAAGGAGGCGGGGATGAGAAGGAGGGTTGGTCATGGGATAAGGCCGAAGGGTGGGGAGATTTTGAAACTGGTAAAGTCCACTTTGAGACCATTGGGTTGTAGGCTCCCGAGGCAGAATATGAGGTGCTGCTCCTCCAGTTTCTGGGTGGCGTCATTGTGACACTGGAGGAGGCCCAGGATGGACATGTCACCCAGGGAATGGGAAAGGGAGTCAAAATGGGTTGTGACCGGAAGGTGTTGTTGTTTGTCGCAAACAGAACAAAGATGCTCTACAAAGCGACCTCCGAGACTCCGCTTGGTCTCACCGATGTGGAGGAGGCCACATCGGGAACAAGGGATACAATAGACCACATTGACGGATGTGCAGGTGAACCTCTGTCTGATGTGGAAGGTTTTCTTGAGGCCTGGGATGGAGGTGAGGGGGGAGGTGTGGGGGCAGGTGTAGCACTTCCTGCGGTTGCAGGGAAAGGTGCCAGGGTTGGTGGGGCTGGTGGGGAGTGTGGAGTGGACGAGGGAGTCGCAGAGAGCACGGTCCCTATGAATGGCAGATAGGGGTGGGGAGGGAAATATCTCTTTGGTTGTGGGGTTGGATTGTTGGTGGCGGAGAATGCTACATTGGATATGGAGGTTAGTGGGGTGATACGCGAGGACAAGGGGGAGTCTGTCTGTTTTTTTTGGGGGGTGGGGATGGAAGGACAGAGGTGCAGGAATTGCAAGAGATGTGGTCGAGAGCATTTTTGACCACTGAAGGGGTGGGGGTGGGGGCAGGATGTTGCAGTCCTTGAAACAAGAGAACATATGGGATGTTCGGGAGTGGAACGCCCCGTCTTGGGAGCAGATGCGGCGGAGGAATTGGGAGTAGGGGATCGCATTCTTGCAGGAAGGTGGGTGAGAGGAGGTGTAATCTAGGTAGCTGTGAGAGTCAGTGGACTTGAAATAGATGTTGGTTTTGAGGCAGTCACCAGAGATGGAGACAGGAAGAAGAGAGATGGTCCAGGTGAACTTGAGGTTGGGATGGAAGGTGTTAGTAAAGTGGATGAACTGTTCGAGCTCCTCGTGGGAGCATGAGGTGGCGCCTATACAGTTATCGATGTAACAGAGGAAGAGGTGGGGGATAGTGCCAGAGTAGCTGCAGGAGGGGGACTGTTCCATGTATACTACAAAGAGGCGAGCATAGCTTGGGCCCATGCAGGTTCCCATGGCCACCCCCCTAGTACGTAGGAAGTGGTAGGAGAAGTTGTTAAGGGTAAGGATGAGTTTGGTTAAGTGGATGAGGGTGTCAGTGGAGGGGGACTGGTTGGGCCTGTGGGAGAGGAAGAATCAGAGGGCCTTTAGGCCATCCACGTGGAGCTATATTGCTGTTCCAACAGTGCACTGACTCAGCACCCGGAAATTCCAACGCCCACCGCCCAATGTCAAAAGCCAGACGTTAGACCTTGGAGAAACAAAATCTAGGCATGTGCAACTCTATCATTCCTCAGTTCCTAAATACTCACCTATCATTGACTCTTCCCACCCCCTCACACACACAGCCCCCTGTACACTCTCACCCCCGACACACACACAGCCCCCTGTACACTCTCCCCTCCCACACACACACGCAGCCCCCCGTACACTCTCCCCCCTGCCGCCTTCTGCTTGCAAAAACATG